TCCTTGCCTACCCCTCTCCCCCCCCCCCCCCACCCCCACACACACACGCGCGCATGCGCGCACACACACATACACATTTTGCAGGGGTTGACTGCTCCTTTTGCCTAGGGGATGATGAATACGGTGATATACTCACCCTATTCCTCGCTTCCGCAGGCTTCCTCCTCTTCATGCCACTGGTTCTCTGACACTCTTCCCTTTGCTGCTTGACCAGTTGTACATCTCTAATGTCATTCCATACTATGCAGGACTAGCAGGCAGGGCCGCCAACTGACCCCAACCGAACCAAGGCCCCCCCCCCTATAGAATCCACGGTACTGTAGTGCATGCACTATATTTTTCCACCGCAACACACAATATTGCTCTAGCACTTGTTGCGCTGCTTGGCAGCGCATTGCGGCTGTTAGGTGCCTTCGGGAGCTATTCAAATGAAGGGCAACGCAACGTTCCTGTCACACTGTAATGCACGGAAAGTGGGATGCGCAATAGCGTGCGTCAGTAGCGCAGAACTGGGCAATTAACACAATGCATAGGTGTGAATAGGCTCTGAGACCTTGCCAGTCGAGAGGCATGGGCAGGGCCAGCGGGAATCTGAGGGACAGCTCCCCCACCTAATCAGAGTGCACTCCTTCTGCCTGCAGATTTTGCCGGCTGCCACATTTTAACACTATGAGGTGCTCAAAGTCCTCAAACTGTGCTCAAAGTCCTCAAACAAAGTCCTCAAACTGCAAACCCAAAGGTTGGAGCTCCCCTCTGTGCAGCTCTCCTACCCGTTATCCCACTTAGACCACCAGCCGCGCAGGCTCACTAAGCTGAATGCTGCTTCGTGCAGCTCCACCTAACACGCTGCCTGAGCCTCCAGTGACAGCCAAACTCACTGTTGCTTGAAATGCACCAGTGAAGTAAGCTGTCACTGGAGGCTCAGGCAGCGAGTTAGGTGGGCCTGCACAAAGCAGCATTCACCTCAGATACGATTACAGCTGTGGGGAGGAGCTTAAACTCCACTACCTTCTGACTCGATGGGGCCTGGACCTGGTACGGGAGAGCTGGCTGTACCCCCTATTGGCTACCCTGCCAGTAGGTCCTGCATTGTACGGGAGGATGATGAGGACACCCCACATTCCAAAGTGTTGGACAGCAGAGGAGCGTGCTGGTATACCTTCTAATTCACCATCCTCCAGTCAAAAAGAGCAGTTAACCCTTGTAGTGGGGAAGGGGACCCACCGCAAACATAAAAAATTTTCATTCCTGGAGTTCGGCTTTAAAAAAAAAAAAAAGAAATCCATTGGAGTGTGAAATGGCTTAATGGCTTTATTTATAAATGAAGTCACATGACACTCTACTGCTGTGTAACAGCATGTATTTAAACAAAGCTTTATCAGTGACACGGCTTTATTTATAAACAGTCACATGACACCCCACTGCTGTGTTACATGTATATAAACAAAGCTTTATCAGTGACCTGACTTTATTTATCAACAAAGCTATGTGATCACCAAGTCAACACAGGCAGGGTGATTAATAGCTTTTTGCACATTGCATTTTTTTTTGCATTTGGCTAGGATCACATTATTGGATGCGCACGTAGCAAAATAAATGCTTATCTTAAAAAAACCACTATTAGGATAGCTAAAAGAGAGCCTTTCAAGACCCCATTTAAAGTGTATAGCACCCTAGAAAAACATACAAAACCACCTTCATTTTGCCTCCTCCAATGCATTTTGCTGAATGGTAAGAAATTTTTAGTGAAACATTTTTCCAAATTTTTCTCTTAGTGAAAATTTTCCCCAAATTTTATGGAAGCAAAAACTCCCGGTTTTATTCATCCATAGTCCTAAGTAATATGTATTATCCAGACTAATGCGGAATATAAAATAGGGGGCGGAGACATGTAGCAGTGAACCTTTAGCTGTGCATCATGAAGGGTTGGAGCGAGTCACTAACGATGTCTAAACCCACTTTTGTCTTTTCCAATTAGCATTATGGGCAGAGCTGCTCCTTCAAGGAAGCCATGAACATCCTCAATATGCTGTTTACAGGCTTGTTCACGGTGGAGATGATCCTGAAACTCATTGCTTTTAAACCAAAGGTAGGTACCAAATAGCTGCGGGTGAATTTGGGGCTTCCTGTTTAGTTTTTTCTTTACAACGCCAGCTTTGCTTTTTCTGAGGGTGCTTTATGACATTCCCTGATTAAAGGGGACCTGTCAGGAGGGTGATTATCAGTCAGAGCCAAATGCTTCATTCAGTTTTATTCATGGAAGATGTGCTTGTTCCAGGGAGGGTCACTGACTGTGATCTTGCAGGGGTGTGTCCTGCCCCGGAACTAGCAGCACTTCCAGGGATCGGGCAGCAGCAGCAGCCTCTGGCACTGGGTGGGAGCCTCGGTTGTGTTTGTTTTGACAAATTTATTTCCAGCAACCCCCAAAATAATTTGAAACGTATTCAGGAATGCTGTTTTTGTTTTGCTGAAAATCAAGGTACCCACTCTTTGGTGATTCTCTTCTTCCTCCCCTCCCTGAGATTTTATACTCACCTCATCTGGAGTACGCAGTCCAGTTCTGGTCACCAGTACTAAGAAAAGATGTCCTTGAGTTGGAAAAAGTCCAGCGGAGGGCAACCAAACTAATTAGGGGTATGGAGGACCAGAGCTACGAGACAAGGCTACTAAATTTAAACATGTTCACATTAGAGGTGATTTCCATGTACAAGATGTTTAATGGTGGTAGCAACATTAGCGATAAACTGTTTAAAATTAACTCCATTACTAGAGGCCACCACCTTAAATTGGTGGAAAAAAAATTCCAGCGTAAGGGGCGAAGGGGGTTCTTCACAGTAAGATCAGTTAGGGTCTGGAACTCACTGCCACAGGCGGTGATTTCAGCAAATAATGTGGAATTGTTCAAGAAACTTTTGGACGATTTCTTAAGGGACCGTAATATACAGGGGTACAGGTACTCCTAGAATGAGATCCTAATAGGTTGGACTTGATGGACTAATGTCTTTATTCAACCTCAAATACTATGTAACTATGTAACCTCAAGCACACCTCAAGGAGACCTGCCTGATTGTAAGGGTAGAACTCCTGACACATTGGGTCTATTTATAAACATTTCGCAGAGCCAATCGCCCTGTGAAAGTTTATTCTGTGTGAATAGAGGCAAAAATTAACATTAGTATATCTTCTTCCCAGGTTGAATGTAATGTAATACCACATTATGGCCTCTAGACGGAGCTGAACATCATAGAAAAAAATATTTATTTCCTATGCTCCCATGCGCCATCAGGTGGTCATAATGAGGTATTACTTTCAACCTGGAAAGAAAATATACTAAGAATGTTCATTTTTTTCCTCTTTTCACACAGAACGAACATTCACAGAGTTTCACAGAATTGTTTATAATTGACCCTTTTCTGTCTATTCTGACACAGTAATAAAATCTGAAGGGGTTTCGATCCCTTCTTCGCTCCAGCACTTTGAATGCACTTTTGGCACTCAGTAGGCACTTGCACATGTTGCACTTATCAGGTGTTGTTATACAGCAGCGAGAGACACTAGCCATAGTGGTCAGCTTCATCTTAGTGAATATGTCTGCTGCCACACATATTCACTAAGTCATCCAGAGACTCAGCGATCCCTCACGAGGTTCTCAGTTCAAATTCACTGATCCTTATTGAGTACCAGCGACAATAATCCAGCCCTGTATAGTTGGGGAATGCTTTAAAAAAAATACCTTCATTTAAATGTAATCCTCAAATAGCCGCAAAGGATATAAATCCACTTTGTGTGCACCAAATGCCTTTGCAAACCCAGATATCACCTTGTAAACACAGTGATCATGACTGGAAGGGGCCCGGCAGGCTCCACCTACTACAGGCTGTCCACAATAAAATACAGGAGGTTAACTGGCTCTCTCAGAATTCAGTTTGGTGCTCTCCTATAAAAGGTTTGGGAGAGCTGTTCACTGCTGTGGATCCACAGGTCCCTGCTAGCTTTACAGTGAAACTCTGGGCAAAATATAAAATGGCATATATGATGCAGTGTCAGTACCATTTACACAGCAGTCTTTGTTTTCCCTGAGTCTCCCTGTAACATAATTTTATTACCAGTTTGTCCTTCCAGTATATCTCTTTTCTCCTTTGTTTCTCTTTTTTCCACTTCCTGTTACAGGGTGACAACACTGGGCAGCGTAGTGGCGTAGTGGTTAGCACTTCTGCCTTGCAGCACGGCAGGTCCCTGGTTTGAATCCCGGCCAGGTCACTATCTGCAAGAAGTTTGCATGTTCTCCCTGTGCTTGTGTGTGTTTCCTCTGGGTACTCTGGTTTTCTCCCACACTGTTAATTGGCTCCTCATATGTATGCATATGAGATAGGGACCTTAGACTGTAAGCTCCTTGAGGGCAGGGACTCATGTGAATGTGCAGTATGTAAAGGGCTGTGTAAATTGATGACGCTATATAAATACCTGTAATAATTTTAAAAAACTATAAAATCACTCCGCAGTGTTGTCACCCTCCGGGCATGGCAGTCTTAGATGGACTTAATTTCAGGGACAAACAAATTGAAGCTAAATTCCAGCTAAGACTTTTTCAGCAGGTCTTTACTTTTTTGGGGAAAAAAAAAGGTTTAGACTGTATGAATGAAAGTTGATAATTGTAAGCACCCCCAGCAGTGTTATATGGTTTGTCCCAACCCCTGTAATTGGCACTTGTGCTGGACAGCTTGGCCTGTTACAGGAAGTGGAAAAATAACAGAACTACTTGTAGGATCCACATGTAATAAAACTATGTTATTATGTTGTAACTACTGTGTAAACATTACTGACAGATGGCACCATTTGTGTCCTTTTTCGTTTTGTCCAGAGCTCCACTTTAATTACCTTCTGGGACTTTTAGGTGCACAACATTGATCACGCAAGCCTTTGATTTGTGTTTGTAAAGATGGGATCAGCTGGACGCAGATAGAGTTTCCAGCCATGTAGTTCTTATTCACGTGTACAAACAGGACTACAGCTACCAGGATGCACTGGGCACTTTCGTGGCGGGCCTATTGATATAAACTGGAACAAAGGAAGCTAAAATTAAAGTGTTACTTGACTCCCCAATTATTTGTTTAAATGAAGAATTCATCCTGGGGGAAGGGGGGAGTTATTGAGGCCATTATTTGGCTACTCAATTTAATGTGAAGTTCAGAAGCCAATAACCCTCCTACATTTTGTATACATTTGTATTTTTTAAAGTAGATGTAAACCTTACATGAATTCACTTTAGTTTGCTCTGTGTATCATCATTTTTTGTCATTTTTAAAGGAAATCCTTGTTTTCCATTTTTTTAAATACTTTGTTACATCTCAGTGATCTCCTGCAGCCTCTTTGCAGTCACGTTCTGTCTACATGCACTCCAGCAATGGCTGATGGTGACAACCAGGGCCACCGATTGATGGATACAGCCAGCCCTCCCGTACCGGGCTTGGGCCCCTATAAGGACATCAGGTGCTGCCCACACAGCTTCCCGCAATGAGAACTCCCTGCGATGCCTGCGCAACTTGTCACGTGCAAGTGATCTGGGAAGCTATACAGCCAACCAAATCACTTGTGCTAGCCTGTGATCCTCTGCACCCCCCATTGTGGTGTCTGGGGTCCTTTACTCCTCTGGGGGGGGCCACAGCAAATGGTGTCAGAATGGAGAGACAGTGAAATGTCCGTTCCCCAATCTAATCTGTGATGTCAGAGCTGTCACATACCTGACTGAAGTGCTGGGTAAACAGGCGATCAAGCACAATCCAGCAATGAGAGGAAGGGGGTTCCCTGCTAGATAGGCTGTACAGTGCCCCATGATTCCTAATAGTGGCCCGTGTGATAACAGTAGACTGTGCCTGCATAATGTGTATTTAAATAGGCATTTCTTGTCTCCATCAGAAGCCTGCATGGCAGGGTGACAACAAAAGAGCAAGATTGGGAGACAGGGACATCATTGTCACCCTATAACAGGAAGTGCCTAAACAAGGACCTTTGTAGCAGCATCACAAGGGATTATTTAATAAAAGACTGAAACTATCTTTTGAAATTACATCTACTTTAAGGAATTTGTATCAGTAAAAGGCTTTTTTTTAATTAAATATTTGCCTTCCACTTTGCTATAACGTAAGGTGGAGCTGCCCAAATATTGTTTTTTTTATAGACTGGGAGTACCGCATTACTTGTATAATGGCATCAAAGGTTGTTATCAAAGATGTCTCATCCAAACCATTGCAGCAGTGCAAACTGGTCCCTGTAGTCCTGTTTTTCCCACGCTGTCTGTCCCCTGGGGCTCTTTTCCTATTCCTGGCCCAGAGAGAGAAGAGGAATTCACTGTGAAAACACTGCGTGTGATCCCCATATTTCCCCCGGGAATGTTAGAAATCCCACCCAGCCATCCATTCTCGGTGTCACACAATCTGTCAGACAGATCCATGGATTGGGAGAATATCTCAGATCCTGCCATGGCACAGCCTCTCCAGTGTGAATCTTCTCAGATCTGACAATGGTTACTTGTGAATTGTTCCACAAATGTGTGTGCGACATTTGCACCTTTGTACTTCAGGAAGCGCTCCGCCTCAAACTTAAAATCTGGTGCAAGCCATGCTAAAATAATAATGCAGACCAAAGTACAATCTATAAATCTTCAAATCTGAATTCAACTTTTCCATTGTTACTACAAACTCCAACAATCTGACACAAATACTGACCTTCTGAAAGCTGCTACTTACATAGACAATAGATTCCTCTGTAGCAGGAAAAGGCAACATCAGCACTCGGCCGGTTCTGGGACTACAAGCATTGCAAGACTTTGACGGCCACAGGCATAAGTCCCAGAGGCATAATGGGATTTGTAGGTTCATCACAGCTGGAGTACCTAAGTTGCCTACACCTGCTCTATGACATACACTGTGTAGCCAATGGTTTGTGAACCCTTGACCAACCTATTTGAGCTCGTTGGACATCCATGACCATGATATAAGGTTGGCCCCCCATTGCGGCTAAAACAGCCTCCACTCTTCTAGGAAGGCTTCCCAAAAGAAAAGTGTCTGTGGGGGTTTGTGGCCATTTTTG